CCTCCGCTTCCCGTGCCACCTCCCTGGCGGAGGCTGCTCCTGCCTCTCCCGGGCTGAAGTCCAGCAGGAACCAGGCACGAGGCTGGGCCTCCAGAACCAGCTCCCGAGCCGTCTCCACATGGGAGACGGGGCTCCCAGTCTGGCCAGGATCCGGCCAGACCCAGCAGCACCCCGGGTGGTCCCTGCACGGGAGCTCTGAGCCTGGCCGCTGGCCCCCGCCCTGTCGGTGCTGCCGCACGGGCAGGTGAGCTGCCTCCAGTTTCTCCTCCACGGAATGGCGCGACCACACAAGGTGAAGTGAGGCCAAGCATGCACGGGGGTCTCCTAGAGGTGAGCTCTCCTACAGCCCCTCAGATCCTCATGAGAGGCCCACGTGCTTCCCAGAACTTGCCCCGCGGCTTTACCTGCCCCAACTCACCTGTGTCCTCAGGCTATGAACACGCAGGTGTCCAGCTCGTGCCACAGGACCCTACATGTGCCTCTGACCACCTCTGCTTCTCTGGGTCCCCAGGAGGAGGTGCAGCCCCATCAGGGGCCCCACTCAGCACATGACTGGTTTTTTTGGTCTTTTCAAGACGAAGGCTACAACCCCCTCCTGCCTGCTGGGAGTGCNACTGGTTTTTTTGGTCTTTTCAAGACGAAGGCTACAACCCCCTCCTGCCTGCTGGGAGTGCTGGAGCCATGGCCGTTGCCCTGTCCCTGCTCCCACCTGCTTCCCAGGCCACCTCGCCAGCCCACGCCTCTGCCCTCCTTCATGGGAGGGGTCCCTTTGGGCTGGCAGGGGCACAGAGACATGGCCACCTCAGGTCCTGCGGCTAGAACTGCTGCCACGCCCAGTTCCCTGAGGCTGAATTGTGGCGCCCATGCGGCTGCTGCCCTGGCCTCGCAGCAGGAGACACTCAGAGTCCTTGGGTGCTCACAGGACTGAGGGAACCCAGCCACTTACCTGACCCAACCTTCAAGAGGTGAGCCCCTGGTTTCTCAAGGGGAGTTGGTCTCTGCTGCCCACCCAAACTCATAAACCACAAGTTTTCCCAAGTAGAGGACAGGTTCAGAAGCTGGGTGGCTCAAGGGTTTGCATTCCTGCACCGGCCAGCTGCCAAAAAAAAAAAAAAAAAAGAAAGAAATGATAAAAAGAGTGACAAGTGCCACATGCCAAGCAGGCACTGAGCCATCTGGGTCCTAAACATGGAGCAAGATCTAGGGGATGAGGTATGATGAAGGGGCTTCGGGCTGTGTGCTGAGCCTCTCACTACACAGCAGTGAGCTCGTGCATGAAAAGGCATTTTGGTTGCAATCTTGGGTTCCCAAAAAGTGAAAAAACCCTCAAGAGTCTGGAGAGGGACAGTGTGCTCACGGATAAGAGGTGACACAAATAGATGGAGCTTCTTTGAAACCAGGCCTTGAGCCAAAAGCAAGGTGGCCAAGCTCGGACCAACGTTCCAAGACAAACCTGGGGACTCTGGAGGGGACTGGCGTGGTGTCAGGTTGGCGGAGCCCCTGCACCCTGGCAGAAATAAAGTGAAATAACGTGGCCTACGAACCTAGATTTTTTTTTTTTTTGTCTTTTTTCCGTGTCCGGCAACGGATCGCAACCCTTGCGGCTTTACCTGCCCCAACTCACCTGTGTCCTCAGGCTATGAACACGCAGGTGTCCAGCTCATGCCACAGGACCCCACATGTGCCTCTGACCACCTCTGCTTCTCTGGGTCCCCAGGAGGAGGTGCAGCCCCATCAGGAGCCCCACTCAGCACATAACTGGTTTTTTTGGTCTTTTCAAGACGAAGGCTACAACCCCCTCCTGCCTGCTGGGAGTGCTGGAGCCATGGCCGTTGCCCTGTCCCTGCTCCCACCTGCTTCCCAGGCCACCTCGCCAGCCCACGCCTCTGCCCTCCTTCATGGGAGGGGTCCCTTTGGGCTGGCAGGGGCACAGAGACATGGCCACCTCAGGTCCTGCGGCTAGAACTGCTGCCACGCCCAGTTCCCTGAGGCTGAATTGTGGCGCCCATGCGGCTGCTGCCCTGGCCTCGCAGCAGGAGACACTCAGAGTCCTTGGGTGCTCACAGGACTGAGGGAACCCAGCCACTTACCTGACCCAACCTTCAAGAGGTGAGCCCCTGGTTTCTCAAGGGGAGTTGGTCTCTGCTGCCCACCCAAACTCATAAACCACAAGTTTTCCCAAGTAGAGGACAGGTTCAGAAGCTGGGTGGCTCAAGGGTTTGCATTCCTGCACCGGCCAGCTGCCAAAAAAAAAAAAAAAAAAAGAAAGAAATGATAAAAAGAGTGACAAGTGCCACATGCCAAGCAGGCACTGAGCCATCTGGGTCCTAAACATGGAGCAAGATCTAGGGGATGAGGTATGATGAAGGGGCTTCGGGCTGTGTGCTGAGCCTCTCACTACACAGCAGTGAGCTCGTGCATGAAAAGGCATTTTGGTTGCAATCTTGGGTTCCCAAAAAGTGAAAAAACCCTCAAGAGTCTGGAGAGGGACAGTGTGCTCACGGATAAGAGGTGACACAAATAGATGGAGCTTCTTTGAAACCAGGCCTTGAGCCAAAAGCAAGGTGGCCAAGCTCGGACCAACGTTCCAAGACAAACCTGGGGACTCTGGAGGGGACTGGCGTGGTGTCAGGTTGGCGGAGCCCCTGCACCCTGGCAGAAATAAAGTGAAATAACGTGGCCTACGAACCTAGATTTTTTTTTTTTTTGTCTTTTTTCCGTGTCCGGCAACGGATCGCAACCCTCAGTGTTGCCCCCGTACCGGACCGGGGACCGGCAACGGGATCGCAAGCCTCGGCGCTGCTCCCGCGCCTCGCTCAGCCAGTGAGCGGGAGCC